GGCCCGCGTCCGTGCTCCAACCCCAGGTCTGGGGCGGGGAACCACGCACCCTCCAGTTCGGTCACCCTCCCCAGCACAGCGGGGCTGAAACAGCCACGGGGCTTCAACCTTGGCTGGCACCAGGTTCGCTCACGAGTTTTTTTAAAAAGTCACTGGCTCCATCTCAGACCCTAGGAATGAGAGGCCAGCCCCGACCACTGTCGGTGGCGCCCAAACGACCAAGCTCAAGGTCTGCAGTCGCTGCTGCACCGGGCAGAGCAGACACAGCAAAGTGTCYCCAGGGCGCAGATTCGTAGCGGAGACGCGCCTCCAGAGCCCGCGAAAGGGATCCCGCCAGGCCGCCCCGCCCCGCCCCGCGCCCTGATTGGCTGGAACGGAGGCGGGTCCCACCCCAGTCAGAGGCGCGCTCTGCACCCGCTCTTTCCACCAACCTATCATTTCCCCAAATTTCTGACGGCCTTCGTTTTTTTCTTTTCTCTCTCCCGCCAGCAGCGTTGAGCATCAGCACCCACCACAGTTAAATACCCGACCCTTTCGCCGCACAGGCGCAGTAGTGCGGGTCCCTGAACTGTTGGACGCTAGCGGACTATTCCGAGAAGTCGCTCCGCCAGTTTGGCCGCACCTACAGTGGGAATCCCATAAGGGACTCATGTACTAGAACGTGGTCGCCACGTAAGTGGAGGACTTGGGGCTGGGACGTTTTGCACGTAGGACATTGAATAGGGTGTTCCCCTTTGCGGAAAGGGACACTTGTAGGGGAAAGGCGGGGCCAGGTGGCTGAGGGATGAGGCTGATCTCAGACTGTCAACGCCTGAGGACACGTTGTTTGGCTGTTGAGGAAAGGAGCCTGTATCAGAATGTACCTAGTGGCTGTGCCCACTGGCTCCTGTCTTTTGCGGGTAAAGAGCTCCTTTAATCTGACCAGAACATGTTCTGCCAGAGTAGTTGGGGCTGCCTGGAATCTCACAGTTAGAACTCAGGAATCCAGGTCACATTCTTTAACTTCGATATAAAATTCGAGTTCAAAGAAGTGCCAGGACTTTATCAAGTGTGCAAAGCTGTTTAGTGACAAGTTCAGTAAGAACAAGGTCTTACATATTTTCTCCACCATACATACTTGAATCTTATCACCTTGCTTAAGARAACCCCATAAATTTACCCCTTTTCCTCAAACCTATGTTTGCCATCTCTTAGGTTCTGGCCTCATAACCACCTTCTAGTTTCTGACCCTGAGAAATTTAGCATTTCAGTTGACTTCTTGTTCAATCCCAAAGGAGTTCTGAATGCTTAACCAATGCATTTGGTTGCCACACTTATTTACTTTTTTTTTTTTTTTTTTTTTTGGTAGATGAGAGTTTGAGACGATTATAAGCAATGCTGCCATAAATAATCTTGTAAATGTCTTTTTGTATAATATACACACATTTGCTAGTTATATATGTAGGAGTAGAATTGCCTATTCATAAAGCATAAATGTATTCAATTTTAGTAGTTGTTAACTATGGTAGGCACAATAAATAACTATGCYCTTATCCCTGGCACCTGTATTAAGTTGTATGGCAAAAAAGAATGAGGGTTGTTAATCATCTTAAAAAGGGACATCAGGGCTGGAGAGCACTTGCCTAGCAAGTGTGAGCCCTCAGTTCTATCCCTAGTATGACAAAGTAAACAATTTTAAAAGGGACTTCATTCTTGATTGCTCAGGTGGGCCCAATATAATCACAAGGGCTCTTATATGGGGAAGAGGGAGGCAAGTAGAGCAGAGGAGAACCAGAGAAATAGTAGTAGGCAAAATTGGGGATGGCCTGATGACCCTGGATTTATTTCTGTGGTACTGGAAATTGTACCCAGAGATGCTCTACCACCAYCCCCTTTTTATTTTTGAGACATGTCTTGCTAAGTTGCTGGGGTTGCGCTCAAACTTTCAGGTCCTCCTGCCTCAGCCTCCAGAGTCACTGGGATTACAGGCATGCCCTACGGCACCCTGCTGACCCTAGATTTAAAGTTGGAGGAAGGAGGCAATGAGCCAATAATGTTGGCAACCTCTAGAAGTTGGAAAAGGCAAAGAAAAAGATTTTCCTCTTTCCTGAGGGACACAGCTCTACCAACAACTTGATTTTTAAGCCCAGTGAGACCTCCAAAACTATAAGATAAAAAATTTGTATTTATTATCTTAATTTTTCTACTTATATATTTACCTATTTTTATTTCAGCCAACAAGCTTTATTTGTTATGGTGACCCAGGAAATTAATTAACAGTTTTCCCAAGTAATTTTATCAATTTTTATACTTAGGAAGCTTTGAGAAAAATAACTGAGCTGGAACCTCTAATAGGACTAGAAAAAAGAAAGTTTATTAGGTGATTCTGATGCATCTTGAGAACCAGTTATCTAAACACTTTATCTACATCTGTCCTTGAAGAACAATGTGCAGTGATTTGGATTGARAGCATTTCTAGAAAAAATTGTCCCAGATATTTGAAGGGTAACTCTCCCTAACTTGCTCAGAATTAACACAGTTAACACTTTTTACAATCCCTCTTCTGTGAATAGCCAGTTCCTGTTCCAGRCAGGGTGTACCCCACATTTTCTCTTTTGCTAGACCAAGAATATTACTCCCCACCCCCATATACTGGGATTAAACCAAGGATCAAGGAAATTCTTCAGAGGAAGGATAAGCAAGTTTTTTTTTATGTTCCAGCCATGTATCCTAAAGTCCAGGGAAAGAGTGCCTTATTCCTCAGGTTTGCACGTCAGCTTCCTTGGTAGGGATACCAACTGATGGGCCTCACTTGGCAGTAAATTTACAAAAGTTCTGGGCAGTTTTTATCACAAAGATGTTATSAAAAGAAACAAAGTGATCAAATGTTGAAATTATAAACTACTTGAAACTAGTACTCATGTACTTTCCTGATAGATGTTAAATATCACTGTTTCCCCTTAAATTTTGAAATATTTCAACTAAGAATACAAGTTTCTGATTCACATTCTGCTTAAAATCCTGTAATTCTTGAAGTATATCAAGATTCCTTGGCATACAGTTTGAGAGTCACAACTATGACGATTTAGAAGGTGATTCTCATTTTTCCTTAAATGGGTATTTTATATAATCATTTTCTTCCAAAGTGCTACTTCTGTAAGGTCCAATATAACCTGATCCCTCCCATGCTAAGGAGCCCTCCAAAACTAAGCCAAACAGGAGACCCTTTGCAGTGACCACAACAGACACTGAATCCCACACGCTTGTTCAGATTCTGACCTGTTCCCACAGAGGACATATTGGGTAAATCTAAGACCACCTTGGAAGATGAACAATTTCCTACTTTAAATGAAATATATTAGAAATTATACTATTTTTAAAAAGCCCATAAACTTAGAAATCAACCTACCATTAGGGAAACACTGACAGACACTATTAAATGTTAGGAAAATAAAAAACAATTAGGTCTATTGCCTGACAAGAATTGTCAAAGACCTTCCTACCCCTCAACATTTCATATTTGCTATTCATACTCTGTTAATAAAATGTATAAGATAGATTCAAATTACAGAATTTAACTTTACCTGGATTCTTAAGGGGGATTTTATTTTTAGTTGTAGATGGACACAATACTTTATTTACTTATTTTTAAGTGGTGCTGAGGATCGAACCTAGTGCCTCACACATGCAAGGCAATCACTATACCACTTAGCTACAGCCATAGCCACAGGCCCTCTTAAAGGGTTTTTTTTTTTTAACTCAATAACTTGTTCATTCTAGAAACATACTGTTAACTATGAATATAAATATTTCAACTAAGAATACAAGTTTCTGATTCGCATTCTGCTAAAAATATAGCTAGTGATTAAAGGTCATTAGATAATTATTATGTATTACAAAGTAGCAATCCAAACTAGACTATAATAAAGGTATTGAACAAGATTATTTACAAAGACATGTTAAGTGCCAAACATCACAGGAGAGAAGAGACTTAAGTAAAATTTTTCCACTGCATTTTATTCATGATACAGCATATTCAAGRTGCCGTAGGAAACAGCTATATCTGCTCAGTTCTTGGCAGCAATTAAAAGGCAGAACTTGTTTATTCATTATCTTGTCCAGTCTCACAATCAGAAGCAATCTTTGATTTGTTAGATATTTCATAAACTTGTATAATAAGCTTTAACTGATTGATGATTTCTTTGTCTGCTGTTTTCATGTCAAATCCCAACATCTTCAAAATAGTTTCTCGAAAGTCGCCAAGCTATAAAGAACCACCCACAAAAATCAAGATATGTCATTAGTTTCAGTCACCAATTTATTTTGCACAATGAAATTAATATTAGAAATTTGGTCTTATTCAGCTTTTCTTTTTAAATGTAATATATACTACATTCAAATGGTATTTTTAAGCTAGAAAATTAGTCTCTTCTATTCCAATAATTCTTTAAAATTTCCTTTATATTTTTCTTATGTTTACACTTTAGTAGATTAGACCTATTTTTTTTACATCTTAATGTTTTTCACCCATAAGGCAATTAAATTTTGTTGCTGCTGCTGTTTGAGATGGGGATTTTACCAWRTTGCCCAGGCTGGCCTCCAACCCTTGGGCTCAAGTGAYCCTCCAGCCTCAGCCTCTTAAGGAACTGGGACAACATATGCACAACCACTTTTTAGACTTCTGGTGTGCTTTATGATAATAGAAGTCCCTTAAATATATATCCATTCATACTCCAAAAGCCACAGTGATCTAGAAAGAGCACAAATAAAAACCACCCATAAGGGGCTAGGGATGTGGCTCAAGTGGTAGCACACTCGCCTAGCATGTGTGAGGCACTGGGTTCAATTCTCAGCAGCACCACATAAAAAATAARATAAAGATATTGTGTCCACYTAAAACTAAAAAAAAAAAATCACCCATAAATCCATGCTTAAAACAACTAAAGAATATCACAGCCTTCAATCTGCATTGAGTGGAAATGAATATCCTAAACTAGTAGGGGCAGCTCTAGAGGAGGGTGCTACTCGTTTCCACTGTTGTAGAACACAGATAGCCTTACCCCCAGGAAATGGGATAGTTCTCAAATGGGGAAATACAGAGAATAAATCTGAAACCTGATARTGAGGAAGGAAAAGAAAGAGGCCTGAAAGCATAAAGACCAGAAATGGTGGTTCTAGAGGGCAAGGGGAGGTTGGAGAGTTTGGAAGGGTGAAGTGTTTCTTAGTGGCTTGGTAATAAAGGAAAAGGAAGAAGTAAACAATGAAATTAAAAGACATAKACAAACAGGAGAGTATGGCAGAATCATACATCACACAAATTCCTACTCCCAAAATAAAAGGCTTGTTCTAGTGAACTTCAAAAACTGCATCTACCACCTCAACAAAAGAGGGCGGTATTGAGTTAAGAAACCTAGTAAGTAAACCCAACCTACAGCTACTAAAGAAGAAACATGAAAACCAGGACAATTAAAAGGATTTCAAATTGAACAGATAAATGGCAAATTAATATCCATAGAGAATTGCTTTAGGAAGAGTCAGGTGGAGTGGCACACGCCTATAATCCCAGCAACTTGGTAGGCTGAGGATAGGAGGATTCCAAGTTTCAGGCCAGCCTCAGCAACTTAGTGAGAACCTGTCTCAAAATAAAAAGGCCTGGGGATGTAGCTCAGTAGTAAAGCTCCCTTGGGTTCAATCCTCAGTTCTCCCTCAAAAATAATTGCTTTAAGAATAAGCAGTATTATCAAAACTGTTTAGGTGATGAAAATATGCCCCCCCACACACAAAAAAAAACAGCACAAAGCACAGGAAACATGTTTGACACAAAACCCTGAAGTGAATTAAATCTTAATTAAATGAGGATTTGAAGACATGGAAAACAACAACAACACCTTTCTTTGAATTATACGTTTAATAATTCAGAATAAAACCATGTCCAAGATGTCTAATGAATACAGAAGATATGATCATTGAAATCAGGCAATAATAGAAAATCTTTTCAGAAATGAGGCGTGAACTACAAAGTGACCAAAGGAGGGCCGGGGTTATGGCTCGGTGGTAGAGCACTTGCCTAGCATGTGGTGAGGCACTGGGTTCAATCCCTGGCACATTTAAAAAAAAAAAAAAAAGTGACCAAAGGGGAATAGACTTTACTGAAAATTTTTGTTTTTTTAATCAAAACAGGGTCTCAGTAAGTTGGTTAGGGCCTTGCTAAGTTTCCAAGGCTGGCTTTGAACTTGTGATCCTCTTGTCCCAGCCTCCTGAGTCTGCTTTGAGCATATCATCAAGAATTTGGAAAAGTTTCAAATTTTTTAAGCAACTAATATGGAGATGTGRCATATACTTTAAGAGTGGCCCAAAATGATCAGTTAGCCTTTTAAAAAGTCTGTTAAAATATTTGCCTTGTAGTGAAGCCCTGGGATTGGATCCCAAGCACTGAAAAGAAAAGGAACAAGAAAAAGAGGAAAAAAAGGAAGGAAGAGAAAAGGAAACAAATTTGCTTTATAAGTATAGTGAAAAATCTAAGCAAGTTTAGAAGTGTCATTCTATTCTAGAATGTGACACAAACAATAACATACATGGTTTCCTCTGAGCTTCCATTCTCTAACATGACCCTATCCTCCAAACTAAAATAATCACATATCCCATTCCTAAGCCATTGTGGGATTCTCCAGGGAGAAACACTTGATTTAAGCTGGCCCAATAAGATTCCTTCTGGAATTTTTCTCTCCCATTACAAGAACTAAATATGAAACTCCATGGCTGTCATTGACCATACTTCCTGTCATAGGAAAAAAAAAAAAACCACTCGTAGTCAGACAAACTGTCACACAGATGCCAAGAAGACAGTGAAAAGGGTCCTGTAAAGTGCCTGGTGCTAGTCCTGGGGCCTAGGTTCATCTCTGACTTCACAGAGATTAGTTTAACCTGTTTTTGATTCCATAAGTCAATAAATTCTGTTTTGTCTAAGTTAGTTAGTGTAAGTTGAGGTGGGTGTGTTTATCATTCCAACTAAATTAGCTTTAATATAGTTAAAAGAAAAAAAACCTCTTGTTCTTGTCCTGACACTTCAAGCTCGTTCTTGGCTATAGAGAGCTCAGGAGTGACAGTATCAAACATCTGACGGGCCTTCTCTTTGTCTGATCTTGCTTCTTGCTCTGCAGAGTCGGATGTAGTTTTCAAATCATCTATATTCATAACTACCTTCTCCTTCATTGTTTCAACTTTTGTTAAAGATTGCCTGAGCTTCATAATTGTTTTGTCCTATGAGAGGGTAAAATGTGAATGAAAGAGAGGAGATGACTGTGAGTTGATCTCCTATAAAAAACAGACAGGCTTGATAACTCGTGTTTTTTTTTTCCCATCTCTCTTTGAAAAGAGGTATGATTATGACTTAGGTCTGAAATTTCCTCCAAAATCTCATGTGTTGAAGGGTGTGTCATCACAGATCCAAAAACAATAGAGCCAGTGATCCTGGTCTGAAACCTCTGAAACCATGAGCCAAAATAAATCTTTTTCTCTTTTTTTTTTTAAGTTGATTATCTCTGGTATTTTGTCACAGCAATGAAAAGCTGATAACCACATATGGAAAAGAGAAATAGTCCACAATTTTTCATTTAAGAGGCATTTCTACCTTTCATAATCATTTAGCATTTATATAAACTGAATTCATGGATTTAAAGAAGCTTAACACATTTTCCATGTCCTTAAAGGTCTTACAGCCTACATTAAACAAATATAGAAGTGGATAAAATAATTGGTTCTACAGTAAGAAAAATATTGGTGATAAAATAGCATATCAGTTGATCAATTATTTAGTRTGCATTTGGCTTAACTCAGTCTATTTTTGATATAGGAAAACTGAATCTAGCTCCAAAGAAGAGAAAAAATTATCCATTAACCCAATAAGAAACTACAATAAAACTAAAACAAAAAGCAGCAAGAGATTTAAAATCATAACATTCAGAATACCAGTCACCTTTGAGAAATAGGGAGGAGGATACCTGGGGGCTTTAGTGGGATTGGTAATATTCTGTTTTCTAAAATGATTGATGGATTCACAGGCATCCAATTTTATTTTCCTATAGTAATACATATTATAAAATAGCATTATATATTAATGTTACATATTATTCTGTTTGTATATAAAATTATTTTAATTTATTTGTTCTTTAAAAAGTTCAATGAGAGCTAATGCAGTTAAATAGGAATGGACCAAAACTTTTATGAATTTTTGAAAACTTCATTTCCTTTACTTACTTTAAGGACATTTATTTTTGTCAGTTGAGTTTTCATATTTTTATTTGATAATTTCAAATCACTGAGCTGTTTCTGAAGTTTCTGAATTTTTTCCTCCAATATTGGCGTTGTAATAATCTGTAAATTTTGCCGAATATTCAACAACATCTCTAATTGTTTGAACTTCTTGTTATGCTTATCTACTTGAGAATTCAGAGTTCTGAAGTTGTCCTTTGCAGAAATTAACAGTATTGAAATAAATAATTGGCTTTAAAATGTTCTATACTAGCATAAWACCAATCTATTCTAGAACAATAAACTGTAGGCTTAATAATATTTACATAAGTAAAATATCTTTTCAACATAAATACACATTATTAAGATAATCGGGAGACTAAAATGTTACAATAAAAGTGATGACTATTGCTATCAAGGGTAACAGTTTAGCAATAGTGTAGATTAATTCTTCTTTTCTAGGAATGTATTCTAAGAAAATAATGAGTATTTGTATAAAGATTCATGTACAGAGATATTCTTTACTACTGTATTCATAATGAAAAATAAAAAAATACAAATGTCAGGAAAATTACATATGGTAATAATACATTCCCTAGAAATTATTTTAAAATATTTWTTAAAAGAAAATAATAATATGTAGTTAAATGAAAGAAACAGGATTAAGAAAAACTATACTTATCTCAGTTGTTACAAATATGCACTGAGGAGCTGGGGCTGTAGCTCAGTAATAGAGTGCTTACCTCTCATGTGTGGGGCACTGGGTTCAATCCTCAGTACCACATAAAAATAAATAAAGGTATTGTGTCCATCTAAAACTAAGAAAATATTTTTTAAAAAATGCATGAAGAGCCAGGCATGGTGACACACTCCTGTGAGTCCAGTGACTCAGAAGATTGAAACAGGAGATTGCAAGTTCAAAGCCAACCTTAGCAACTTAGTGAGGCCCTGAGTAACTTAGTGAGACACTGTCTCTAAATAAAAAATAAAAATGGTTGGGGATGTGGCTCAGTGGCAAAAYACCCCTGGGTTCAATTCCCAGTACCAAACAAACAAACCGGACAAAAATAATATGTATGGAAAGTAATCAAAAGAAAACATTATAATATGATATATGATAACACCAGTTATTTCCAAATGGTGGAATTACTGGTGATTTTGGTCTTATTCTTTTCCTATTCTGTGCTTTATAAATCTTTATAATGCACATGAATTAATTTTATTATGAGAAAAAAATAGTTATTTAAAATATCTTGACAAATGTAGCAAATGTATTAAAACATTCAAAGAAACAAAATAGATAACACTGGATAACAAAAATAAGAATGGCACATTTTTCTCAATAACAACACTGGAGCCCCAAAGATAATTAGAAGAATTAATGTTTTCTAATCTCTTAGTGAACTCAATTATCAATCGAATGTGAAGATTTTTTTAAAAGACCTTTTTATTTATGCAAGTACTCAAAGAAAAAAGTATCTTTCCCAYGGTATCATTTCTTAGGAAGTTATTGGAAGATATATCCAAGCAAAATGAGAAAGTAAACCAAAAAAAAAAAAAAAGATATGAGATTCAGAGATTAGAGAAGAAAAGTCACAGGATCACAGCTAGGTCCAGACCCATAGAGTAAAAATCAAGATCCCCAGTCTGAAGGAAGAAAATGAAAATTTTGAGAGAGRGGGGGAAAAATGTCATATTTTTATAGACTAGTGGATCATTTGTTACAATATTTAAGGGAAAAACAAATGAATGTTGAAAATTACACATATGAAAACACAAGGAAAAATGCAAGAAAGGACATGTAAGAAGAACATAGTACTTTGTACTTTTGTAAATATTTAGTTGTCATAGTGAAGTAAATATTGATTATGGATCTCTCCCCAAATATCAATATATCAACTATATTTGGGAAATAGCTAGATGGGAAAGTGGTATAAGAGAGATAAAACTTTAATATGAAATCAACAGATAATGTCTGAAATAGAAAATTCAAGATGTAGTAGTATAAAATTATTTAGGGAAATGAAGGTACTACCAGAAGCAACAATCAAAAGAGTTAAAAATAAACAGCCCTTGTTCTATCTTGTCTCCAGGGAAGTCTGRAACTCTTGTACTGTATTTTGGTCAAAAGAGGAGTTAAGCATACTAAATAGTAAAATTTTCTATGTACTTTTTATAGTCTGTTTAAATATCCCCAGGAGAAATCCTGTTATTAAAAATGTATGGACTTAAAAAAAACAAAAAGCAAAAAAACACAGCCTTGCCCTACATTTCACTTAATGGCAGATGAAGAATTAGTTCCACAGAACACGTTTAAAAGAACAACAAATGAGATGGATTCAAACTAAAAAGCTTCTTCTCGGCAAAGGAAACTATCAATAACGTGAAGAGAGAGCCCACAGAGTGGGAGAACATCTCTATTACATGCACATCAGATAGAGCACTAATCTGCAGGATATATGAAAAACTCCAAAAACTTAATACCCCAAAACCAACCCAATCAATAAGTGGAGTAAGGAACTGAGCAGACACTTCTCAGAAGATATAAAAACAATCAACAAATATATGAAAAATGTTCAACATCTCTAGCAATTAGAGAAATGCATATCAAAACTACTGTAAGATTTCATCTCATTCCAGTCAGAATGGCAATTATCAAGAATACACTCAACAATAAATGTTGGCGAGGATGTGAGGGGAAAGGCACACTCATACATTGCTGGTGGCACTGCAAATTGGTGTAACCACTCTGGAAAGCAGTGTGGAGATTCCTTAGAAAACCTAGAATGAGGGTTGGAGTTGTGGCTCAGTGGCAGAGAGCTCGCCTAGCATGTGTGAGGCACTGGGTTCGATCCTCAGCAACACATAAATATAAAAAATAAAGATATTGTATAAGTAAAAGTAAAAAATAAATATAAAAAAAAGAAAACCTATAATGAAACCACCATTTGACCCAGTCATCCCACTCCTTCCTTGGTCTATACCCAAAGGATTTAAAATCAGCATACTATAATGACACAGCCACATCAATGTTTATAGAGGCTCAATTCACAATAGCTAAACTGTGGAACCAACCTAGATGCCCTTCAAAAGATGAATGGATAAAGAAACTATGGTATATGTACACAATGGAATATTACTCAGCATTAAAAGAGAATAAAATTATGGCATTTTCAGGTAAATGGATGGAGTTGGATAACATCATCATGCTAAGCAAAGTAAACCAATCCCCAAAAACCAAAGGCTAAATGTTCTCTCTGATAAGTGGATGCTGATCCTTAATGGGGGGAGGGAGAATGGGAAAAATGGAGGCAAAATGGAGGCACTTTGGATTGGGTAAAGGGGAGAGGAGGAGGGGAAGGGCCATGGGGGTAGGTTAGAGAGTGGAATGATACAGACTCATTACCCTAGGTAAATGTATGATTGCACAAATGGTGCGACTCTACATCATGTACAACCAGAGAAATGAAAGGTCTGAGGAAGTGGCTCAGTGGTAAAGCATCTTGGGTTCAATTTCTAGTACCCATAAATAAATAAATATTAATATATTGATGGGTCACTTTTTCAGATATTAATAATCTACATATTTATAATTTTGGTGATTGACATTGTTTGATAATTTGGTATGTTTCATTTGCAGATCTTATTTCATATTCCCCATTAGGATTTTGCAATGTCCATATAAGTCCTATATAAATCCTATATGTTTCTGGTACAATTTATTCTTGGTTACTACAAAGAATGCTTGTATACACAATTGGTTACTGATAAGAAAGAGGAAGAAAGAGGGCTAAAAAATTATTATTTTTTCTTAAAATCTTTTAACATGATTAAAAGGGTTGTGGAAATCATATGTTATTAGCTCCCCCCCACACTTTACTGGGAATTGAAACCTAGGGTACCCTATCATTAAGCTATATCCCTAGCCTTTTCATTTTTTATTTGAGACAGGGTCTCACTAAGTTGATGAGGCTGGCCCTTGAACTTGCGATCCTTCTGCCTCAGCATCCTGAGTAGCTAGGATTCCAGGCACGTGCAACTACGCCTGGATTGCATATTCTTAAATTTCAATATAGCATTTAAAATAATTTTGTGTGGAAATGAATCATTATCAGTCACATACGTAAGAGCAGAGATAGAAGCTGCACTCATCTTTGAATACTATGGAATATGTCTTTTTTCCCCCGGTACTGGGTTTGAACCCAGATGTAGTTTTCCATTGAGCTGTATCCCCAGTTTTTTTATTTTGGTTTTTGTTTTGTCTTTTTTTTTTTTCCTAAGATAGGGTCTTGCTAAATTGCTGAAGCTAGTTTCAATTTGCAATTCTCCAGCCTCAGCTTCTTTAGATGTAAAGTTGTACACAGATGGGATTATAGGTGTGTACCACTGTATTGGTTTATGGATATTTTTTTTAAACAACATTTCCTAAAGTGCTGGAAGAAAAACTTAGAGCTCCAGCCAGAGGTATAGCTCAATGGTAGAATGCTTGCCTACCATCCAGCACTGCAAAAAGAAAAAAAAAAAAGAGTTTCATAAATATTGGATTGGAGCTGAGGATATAGCTCAGTGATAGAGTGCTTACTTAGCATACTTGAGGGCCTTGGTTTAATCCTCAGCACCACAAAAATTTAAAAATTAAAAAAATGTACATATGTGTGTGTGTGTGTGTGTGTGTGTGTGTGTGTGTGTATTGGATGCATGAATGGGCTGAAAGGCCAACTGAGTCATTAGTAAATAAGTGAGTGATATTACACCTTGAGCCACAGCAATTATAGAAATAGTATAAAATAGGTTAAGGTTCGACAGGTAATTCAGTGAAGAGGTAGCAAAATAGAAACAGGACTTCCTGAAAACAAATTGAATTGCAACCTACTCGTTTCCATYCCACTTTTAGGACTGCCTTTTTCCTTATACATTCAGGGAAGCAGAAATTGGAGAAGATAACAGTTAATACAGTAATTATTCAAGGAATATCATTAATACACCTCACTGATACTCATCATATTTAGCTGTCACTGTGCCTGAAATTCCACCATTAGAGAATCATTCCTTGGCATTCCTTTCCTTCTAATTCTCTTCTAAAAGTATATTAAGATATTTATTAACATATCTGTCATAATAAACATCAAATATGTGCACAGTAAGGAAATGGAGATATGGAAAGAGGGRAGGCTTTTTGATAAAATCAGAAACTTCAAGGATCTATAGCAAATCCTCCCCTTTTCCATTAGGAGAAGTATATATAGTATGAATAGCTTTAAACATTAAATAATGTTAAAGTCATTAATAAAATAAAATATGATCATTTCCTTTATCAAATAAATGCCTATGCTTCAGTATATTCTTACTTTATTCCTGTCCAAGTCTGATTTCCTTTGAAAAAAGTCATTGATACCAATGTTTCCATCTAGACGTTTCAAGGGTTTTTTTTGTTCCCTATAATTTTCTCCACCCTGAGGTGATTCTTGAGCAGTTTCTTCGTAAATCTGATGCAGCTGTTCCAATTGCTTAGTGAGCATCTGAATTTCCTGCTGTAGGCCTTCCGTTCTCTTTTTAAAAAAGGAGATATTTTTCAAAAACTTCCTGATGATCCATGCTTTCTGCATCATTTCAAAACTGTATGTTCTAATTATATTGATTTTGTGATGACATTAAATTACAAAATAGATGAATAGGGAAGCCTTTTAAGAGATACTTTTAAGAGATTTTTAGTACTGAGGAAGTTGTATAGTGAATTTTAAGTATGCAGGGTTTTTTGGGTTTGCTTTTTTAAAAATGGATGGGGTTGGAATATAATTCAGTGGTAGAGTGCTTGCCTAGCATGCACAACGCCCTGAGTTTAATCCTCAGCACTGCCACTGTCCCTGCCCCCACCCCCMAAAAAAACCAAAATTGGAACACAGATTATTGTGCAGTAGGTTTCAYTAACACATTGAATTTAAAAAATACTTATCATCAGCTGAATTCCAGGGTGAGGAATCACAAAACTTTGCTAAAATGACACAGACAAGAAGATATATCCACATGAATATGTTGATTCAGTCTTTTGATAGACTTGACCAGTAAATTAAACTAACTAATCTGAAATTTATTTATGAATGTGTTTTTGATACTGGGACAGAGCCAAGGGCCTCATGCATGCTAAGCACATGCTCTACCAGTAAGCTACACCCCAGACCTGACAAGTTGTTTAACTGCACCAACTAAACTAACCAGTGTTGGAGCATTATGAAAATACTATCTTCCCATAGCAATATTTTTAAGTTAATATTTATTGAACTTATACCAAACTGTACTAAGCATTTACCATGTATTAWCCACTCTGTGAGACAGGAACTATACCCCTCTCCACCATTTTACAGATGAAATGGAGGCACAGAGAGAATAAGTAATCTGCCCAGGATCACACAGCTAGCTAAGGGCAGAGCTGGGATTCATAGCAGGCCTCTGTGCTCTTAGTGACTATGCTATACTTTTTCCAGTGTCGTAAGATGACCTATTTCTCTTCTTTCACTATGGAAATACAATCAAAATTACAACTCAGAGCCATACAGTATACTAAATTAGATAATAGCAAAGTCTATATCTTAAAAGAATCAAATAGGAAAAAAATAACTTTTCTTTTGATGTACTTACAGATTTCCAAGAGAGTTCATTTTCACTGATTTCCAGTATCCTTTCTTTCACAGCTTCCTCTGTGGCTGGTATGGGAACAATGCTATCACTCAGAAGAGTAGACAATTGACTGAGGAAATTCTGATATTGAGATTGTGCAGTTTCAGTTTCCCATCCGCATGAATATGGCTGTCTGTCTAACTCTGATGCTTGTTTATCCTCTTGTATCAAATCTTGTTGACATCCATCCCAAATTTTCTGCTTGTGATTTGGTTCTTCAGTATGAAAAATGTCTCTCTCAAAGTTGTTGGCCAGGAAAGCTTCGGTCTTATCCTAAATATGCACAAGTTAAACTTCTCACTTGAAATTAAATACAAAGACTTCTATTTTCCTTCTTTTGAACTACAAAATATAGCAGTAGCACAAAACTTCAGGAGACCCTCAAGAGAAAGAATTAAGACTCACAAGAGAAACTTGGGCATATATTCAAAATAACAAATGGGAACAGCAAAAGTAGAAATTAAGCTTAAAGAAGCAGCTAACCAAAAATCCCCAGTTGATGAAGGTAGAAAAAATTGAGCTAAAAAGTGTAGAAGGAATGATAGGAATGTAAAAAAAAAATCATCATCATCATTTTGTAATTCCTAATGTAATAACTGATCTAAGCAAGAATCAGCAATGATGGGCTGGGATTGTGGCTCAGTGGCAGAGTGCTTGCCTCACAAGTATGAGGCATTGGGTTTGATCTTCAGCACCATATGACAATAAATAAAATAAAGGTATTGTGCCCATCTACAACTAAAAAATTTTTTTAAATCATCAATGAATGCTAAGACCATTAGTGAAAAGTTGGCAGAGAATTATCAAATATAATTTAATAAAAACAACCGTGATAACATGAGAGTATAAATGAAAGTCATATTTCTTTTCCCTAACCTTTCCTTTATGCTCCTGTAGTCATTCTGCTTCCATTGTAAACATGACAGGAAAAAAAAAAATTACAGATAATGCATGTACCTCTTTCCCTTACCTCCCACAGCAGAATTCCACCTTATAACTTCAACAAGGCTTTCTTCCCAACTTCCTGTCACCTTCAGTTCTGGGAGCTAAGTAAGCAAGTTCA